GGAACTCCAAACTCTCCTGAGCACTATCAGGTGTCAGTCCCAAAATGCTTAATAAAGCACCTGACTTGAAGGCACGAGGCCAAGAGTTCATACCCTGGCACCAGCCTCCATGCACAGTGCCCTCCAGCAGCTTTGCCACTTGGAACCCCTTGAGGTTCCACACAAGCGCATGATCTCAGGGCTCTATAAGCACCTCCACTGCAGTGTGCAAGCATAGGGTCCCTTGGCAAGTACTGCCACTGAAGTAAGTACAAACACAACTCCAACGTGCAAACCCTCTCAAGTGAGACAACAAAAACTGTGGCAAGAAGGACCATCCAAGGATGTGGTCACTGCAGCCAGGAGTGTGGGAGTCCCCGTCCCCCTTGCCCCACCTCCATCATCACAACAATGACAACAACAGGGAAAGGAAGGAAAGGGGGGGAGGGAAATCTCCTCAGATTGTTAAAACCAGCTGCCCAGGCTAAGCGCAGACTTAACTGACCAAACTCTTGCTGGGTAGACAGAACATTTGTCCTTTAACAGACTTCTTGGGTGATCCCAGTGAATTGACTAAAGTTGCTGCTGTTGTTGCCATTGCTGCTACTACTACTGCTGCTACTATGTTACTAGTTTTGGTGGGTTTGTTTTTTTGCTTTCCTTTTTTTTTTTTTTTGGCTTATAGGGGGTCACACCCAGGATGCTCAGGGTTATCTTCAGTATCATTGTTCAACCTAAGACAAAAATCGAGCATATATTTTGGTTAGGCCATGTCAGGTCCTGTTTTATCTCAGACAAAAAAAAAAAAAAAACAAGCCCCAAAGTCTGGGGACCTGGTGTGTCTTTTCAGCTGTACCTTCTTCGGGCCCAGTGTGTGACTAATGAAAGGGTTTAACAAACGAATTCATTACAGATCCAGAAACAGCTCGATGGCTGTCTTAGGAAATGAAGAGCTCTTCTATGGAAAAGACAAATCTGAAGCTTATGTTACTTTAGAGTTTATGTTATTTGACTTATGTTACTTAAGTCAACATGTAAAGGGGGAGGGCACAGACTTTGGTACAATCTAAATAAAATGCCTTAATAGCATCCAAGACCTATTTTTGTATGTCTGCAGGTTGAGGACCTTAATAAAGTAGAAAGAAGGTGGAATGTGAGATTAATGGGCTTCTAACAGCTCTTCCAAGGAGCAAGTTTTATTATTCTAAGTGGTGATACACACTTTCTTTCCTACACTGTACCATAACAAAAAGGCAAGCAACAAAAGAGACCACAAAGTGCTTTTCTAAGTTCCAGTGTCTTCAAGGAAAGTGGGGGAAGTAAACACACAGGAATGACTCTTACAAGGTAGTAGGTACAACAGACACAGTCAGGAATAAGGAAACTTCCAGGCAGGAAACAGAGAAATCTAGGAAGTAATTGTGGCCATTTGAATTTTAAGGACCCACAGGGAGAAGTAGATTGCGGTCACCATAAGAATCTGGGGAGGAGACCCAGCAGAGAGCTCAACAGGCGGGAGCACATGCTTTTGCATGCAGGAGGCTGGGGTTCAATCCTCACTTGGTCCCCTGAGCACCACCAGCACTAACACCCCCTCCCCCGCAAGCATATAGAACAAGATGTGTGGTCTAACAACAATAACAACAACAATGAATTGGGGTGAGGATACAGAAATGGCTCCAAGTGGCTAGAGAGCATATCTGGCATGCAGAGGTCCAGAGTTTAATTGCAGCACCTCACAGCAGTACTAGGAGCAATCCTGGAGATCCCCTGGTATGATCACCGGACTATCCAGACCACACTTCAGGCCTGGTTCTGAGGTCCCTAGGCAATGGCTGGAGCCAGGACCCACAAAAAAAGGAACACAGAGGCAGGGAGATGGTGCACATGCTCTGAATGTCTGAGGTCCTGAGTTTGAGGTCAAGCACTGCAAAACTTTTAAAAAGAATCTAGGTTGGAAAAGCATTCATAATAGCAGTAAGGGTCTGAGAAGACAGGAAACACCAGGGTGAGGAAGAACTAAACAGAAACAATAAATTCTGGTGCTAAGAAAGGGCCTTTGAGGTCATTTCATTTAGTCAAATACGCAAACACAAATCTTATGGATGTTGCCCCATCTGCACTGTGTAAAAATCAGTTCAATTTGTTGTTGCTTGTGGGGTTTTGTTTATTTGGGGGACACACCTGGCAATGCTCAGAGCTATTCCTGACTTTGTGCTCAGGAAACCAAATACAGTGCCAGGTCTGTGGCATTATGCTATGCCGGGTGCAAGGTAAGTTTCCTCACCCACTGTACTATCTCTCCAGCCCTACTTTACTTTTTTAATTATACTTTTTAATAAACCAAAAACAATGTCATCAGTGACTTCTTGCTACTATTTTTAAAAAATAATAGACCCTAGGGTGGGGGCAATAGTACTAGGATTTCTGCCTTGCAATCAGCCGACTGAACCTGGTTCGATGACCTGACATCACATATGGTCGCCCAACACTGCCAGGAGTAATTCTTGTACAGAAATCCAGGAGTAACCCCTGAGCATCACAGGGTATAGTTCAAAAACAAAACAATAAAAAATTAATAGACTCTTTTCCTCCAGGAAATCATTTAGGTGATCCAGCTTTTAAGCATTCGTATTTTTTTTGCTACCACTCAGCCAGTCTAATGTTTATAATCCCTTATTTACCAATAGTACTTACTACTTTTAGAAAATACAAAGTTTCATACTATATTCTAAAAACAACTCCACTATAAGAATAAATGGAGGGTCAGTGAAACCCAACTCAGAACCCTAAGAAAACAACAAGAGTCAAGCCAAAAAAACCTCAATTCAAAATCAGTACACAAAATGCAACAAATAAACTTAAACGCTCTTCTGACCAATTATTTCTCAACATCCCTGACAAACTATTTTAAGAATATGAAATCTTGCTCTATAAAAAGCAAGTTCCCATCATCTCAACTACACTTAAAGTCTGTCTCAATGCGTACTGAAGCATAACACACCACCAGGCTTCAGATTTTTGCTTCCTATCAGTACTTACAATATTTCCCTCTTTTACATAAAATTCACTCTTTGTCCAAAAGCCTGACACACTAGATCTTGGTTTTCACTTCAAACACTAACGTAAGGAGTAAGCTTGGCAAAGATCTTTTCCATATTTACCTCTTAAATTTTAACATGATACAAAATTCCACTCTCAACAGTGTTCTCAAAGGAGTTCTGACTTTCCTTAACCTTTGTTGGGAAAATGTAACACTAAGACAGAAATTTCCTTACTGAAAATTAAACCTTGAAAAATCTAAAAACAGTCCTACACAAGGGCTCACAAAGTGGGAGTTGTAAAAAAAAAAAAGAAAGAAAGTAAAATCTGAATAACAGATGCTAAAAAAGGTACACTTATACAACTTTACATTTGAAGAAACTAAGAAGTCACCAAAACTAAAATCTTTCTTAGCCAGCGCAGAACATAAAACAATCTTCAGGAACTCTAGGACACTGTGGCATTATTTTACTTATCAATATGGTCTCTGCATCAATGTTACTATTCTCCCAGTTCTTTAATGAGCTAAAGGTGTCCATGGTCCAAGATCCCTCAGACTCAGGGAATGGTAAACGTGACGAATAACAATAGTAATAAAAGCAAGACCTTCCAAAGCCAGAATATGTATCAAAGAGTGGCATCCACGCAGGGCACAAGGCACATGGCAACCTGCAACCGTTTCCCCACCCTGACTCCTGAAGGACTAGAAAATCTCAATTCCCCCGCTCCACCACCGCTAGAAATTAAAGTCTCTTCAAAGAACTGAAGGGGCCAAGAGGTCACTATTTCATCATGAACGTACTCCCCCCCATCCCACTACAAATTCACCCGCATGCAATACAACAAACAAGCTTTGTGGCTCCATCCTAAAATTCGAAAGAAGAAAATCTTTTTTTACAGAAATAAAACTATTTCAAAAACATTATGTAATAAGTTAAAGACTTTGGAAAACCCCATCTCCATCCGAGTCGGCTGGGGCGCAAATGGAAAGCAAAATTCGATCAGCCCCATTGTACCCAACCAGGCTAACGTGCAACATCATACACACATACACACACACACACACAACCAAGCTAACGTGCAACATATCACAAACACACACACATTTATAGACACACACACACACACACACACACACACACACACACACACACTCGTCTCCGTCAGTGCGTCTCTGCCAAGACCCAAGAACAACAAAGGCAAGTTGGGGAGGCTGCCCTGGGCTTAACTCAGCACCGCTCGGCTTTCCCAGCCGCTTCCCGAAGCAGCTCCTCGGGGGGTGGGGGGGGGCGGGGGGCCAAGGCGCGGACCCCAGAGTCTCCCGCCAGGCCGGCCCTGGGCCCGGCGCCGCTCCATCAGCTTTTGTCTGGCCGGGCTGGGCGCCCCGGCAGCCCGCCTCGCCGGCACCCTCCTCCTCTGGATCTTTCTCCACACCCATCACTCGGGCCTGACCTCGGGTGGTGCATCTCTCCCCCTCGCCCCCTCCGCGGGACCCCCAGCCCCACACCCCCGCCCCAGGGAGAGCGACTCCGGGGGCTGGCAGGTTTCTCCCCACACCCCCTCACCCCGCTAGGCCCCGGGAGGCTCGGGTCCGGCGGTGGGGGGGGGGGGGGGAGGGCGCCCGGGGTGGGGTCTGGCAGAGAAAAAGCAAGCAAGAGCGGGGCACACAAAGCCGGCTGACCCCACTGTCGACTCCCCCTCACCCCACCCCACCCCGCTCTCTTTGCAAAGCAGCCTGGGTCCGCGACCTGGTGCTGGGACCCACCATCCTCCCACCCCGCTCCCACCTAAAGGGCGACCCCCTCCCCCTGCCCAAAGTGCACCCCCAGGCGGATGACAGCGCCGGACGTGGCCCCCACCTCGACTAAGAGCCCCCCACCCCGGGAGAGGAGAAGGCGAGGTGGGGGCGAATGAGGGCTGGGGGTGCCTGGGAGGACCCAGCTCTGAATAAACCCCTTCGCCCGAACCCGGGTACTTACAGCCGTACAATTCGCTACAGCTACCGCTGCGGACCCGGCAGCCGCCGCCTTCTCCTCCACCCCAATGAGGTTAAGCGCTCGGTGCGGGGATCAAAAAAAAAAATAGGAACCCAAGGCGCCTGCGCAGTGCGGTCCCCTTTTTTTCCCCCTTACCGCCACAGAGCCGACGGACCATAGAGAGTGTGAACCGGGACCAGAGAGGCGGCTTCCTCTCTATGGTAACACCCCCGGCGCAGGCGCCGAGCAGGCGGCACGGAGACTGCGGGGAGCCGCCAGGCTCCGGTGCTTTGGACTCCGCGTTGAACGTCTTTTGGGCCTCATAGGGAGCCGTAGCGGTACAGCTGGGGGGCAGGGCGTGCTTGAAGGGAAGGAGTCCCAGGATGTCGGCGGCTCCCTCGGGGAGCTGCGGCAAAAACGTAGCTTCGGCCGCGGGGATCAGATCCGAGCGGCCGGGGTCAAAGGGCACCGAACGCCGCCCGCTGCGTCGGGCTCAGGCGAAGTCTGAAAAGCCGGGAATGAAAGCGATAGTGGGGCCGGGAGGGCGTTTGCCTGGCACGCGGCTGACCCGGGTCCGAGTCCTCGGCCCCCCATATGGTCCCCCGAGCACCGCCAGGTGCGACCCAAAAAAGCAAACGAACAAAAAGTGAAGCCAGACTTCTTTCAACGCGAGTTCTGAATCGGAAGGAGAGGCGTCCGCTTCTGGGCTACCCGCCAGCCGCCGCCCCCCAGAGTCTCCCGGGCCGAAGGAGGCGGCGCCTGCGACTTCCTGTGCCTGTTTTCGCTCCCCCGCCCTTTTTTCCCTCCTCGAATTGGCGCCGATTCTTGAGCCGGAAACGCGACTTTCTAACGGTCCTGAGCCGGGGGAGATGGGCGAGGCCGGCGGGGCCCTCCCGCCCGGACCGCCGCTGTGTCCTCGCGCCCGCGGGCGTCTGGGGGCCGTCGGGCGGGCACTGCTGCTGTCGGGCGGAAAGCGGGGCCAGGTCTGGAGCGCGGCCTGTACGGATCTGCCAGGCCCCGGCCCGGGCTGGGCGTTGGACGTTGCCGGCTTCCGGTTTGGGACCCGCCCTCGTGCCCGGCGGCAGCTCCGCTGCGTCTCGAGGTCCGGTGCCGCCTTTGCCGTTTCCCTGGGAGCTCTTCGCCTGGCCTGGCCAAGGGAGTGTGTATGTCTGTGTCTCTGCTGGTCCCTCTTAGCTTTGCCTAGCTAAGGGGGGGGGGGGGGGGGGGGGTGCATGTGTGTGTGTGTCTGCTGATTCCTTTTTGCCTAGCTAAGGGTGTGTGTGTGTGTGTCGGTCCCTCTGCCTAGCCCAGGATGTATGTGTGTGTATCTGCTGGTCCCTCTTAGTTTTGTCTAGCTAAGGGGGGTTGTGCATGTGTGTGAGTGTGTCTGCTGATCCCTTTTTGCCTACCTAAGGGTGTGTGTGTGTGTGTGTGTTGCTGCTAGTCCTTCTTAGCTTTGTCTTGCTAAGGGGGGGTGTGTCTGTCTGCTGGTCCCTCTTAGCTTTGCCTTGCTGAGGGTATGTGTATGTTGTTGCTGCTGCTGCTGCTGGTCCCTGTAATGCAGAAAGGAGAAAGGACTTCCGATGGGAAGGGCAGGGTTCCTGGTTGGATATAGAAACAGTGAAGAACCTTTGGAATTGGCGGAGCAATGATGCCAGAGCATTCCAGAACTGCAGCACAGAGGCAGAGGGCTGGACGGGGAGTGGGGAGGGTGTGGGATGATGCCAGTGCTACCACAATAAGGAGCACTGTCCACGTGGCTTGGGACTGGGGGGAGAAGGGGGAAAGAGACTTGGGGTATTTTAAACCAATCCCAGTAAAATCCCGCCTGTGAGCCATCGGTGAGAGTACCATTTGGTAAAGTGCATTTACCGTGGCTCTGGGTCTGTCCCACAGTTTTTCTGTTCCTCTTACAAAACCCTTGCCGCTGGTCAGCCCCCACCCTTTTTGTCTCTGAATTTATCCACCCAGTAACTCATCCAAGTGGAACCACACGGTATTTGTCTGCCTGTGACAGTTTTCGTTCAATTAGAGCTGTGTGCTCATGGTTCATCATGTTGTAGCAAGTGTCAAAATTTCCTTCCCTTTTAATGAGGCTGAATAATATTCCATTGTACAGCTCTACAACAGCCACCTCTTGGGTGCTGTCCATCTCTTGTCTATTGTGAGCAGCACTGCTGTGAACATAGGTATACAAATATCTCTTTGAGATCCTGCTTTCAATAAGAGTGAAACCAAGGAAGACTGGAAACCAGGTAGAGAAGTCTATACTGTATCTGTACCACATCCTCAAGTCGAGGTGGTAACTGAATGGGTGAACTGTTTTTATGAAGACACAAGGGCAGGGCGGCTCAATACACTGCATTTATAGGAAGCGTCTATAGAGTCTGCATTGTACCACCACCTACATAAATTACTCTTACGCTACTGAATCCTTCCAAATAAATGAATCCACTTTTACTTCACGTTTTACGGATGAGAAAATTGGGGTGAAGGATGGGCTGCAGAGAAGCTCAGCAACCACACCCACTCTTTGTACAGATGGTTAGAAAGCCAAACTCCCTTGTTGAACTGGACCTTTGACTACTGACTGTTCACTGATTGATTTTGGACATTGATACTGAAAGAGTTCACACATAGAAATGACCTGTCACTGGAGAAAGAGTAAGCTGACATCACAAGCTTTTACCATCAAAAGCCAACAGCAAAACTACATCTCTCAAGGCCCTTAAAGATCACTGGGGGTGATTTCAGGTCTGTTCACTGCCTTCAAAAAGTATAAAATGCCCAGCAGGCATACCTTTTAATGACCACGAAGGATAGTACACAGGGGGCTATTCCTGGCTCTATGCTCAGGAGTGACCCCTGGTGGCAGAGATAGGACCATATGTTGTGCCAGGCACTCAGAGCTGGGTCAGCCGTATGCATGATTAGCACATTCTGCACTATCTTTATGGCCCCTGTGTAAACAAACGGGAGAAAAAAAAAAACAAGCCCTGGACCTCTCTAGCATTTAAGAGCTAAAATAGCAGGACGGAGCTATAGTGTGGGATATAGTTGGTAGAGTGCTTGCCTTGTACATGGAAAACCCAGGATTGATCCCTGGCATCCTATATGATCCACCAAGCACCGCCGGGAGTAATTCCTAAGTGCAGAGCTAGGAGTAATTCCTGAGTGTCGCTGAGTGTGGCCCAAAAACCAAAATGTAAAATAGGACTGGAGAGATAAATCAATTGCTGAGCACACGCTTTGCATGCAGGAGACCCGGATTTGCTATCTGGCATGTCATGCTTATTACCCCCACCACAGCACTGCCAGGAACAATTCATAGAGAAGCCACCAAACCTCTTGGAGTGTGATTCTCCTGAAAAAAGAGAAAAATAATTGCCAAGACGTTGAAAACATACCCCAAAAGCAAGCAAGAATGCAGCCGTGATTGTCTTTTGAATCCCAGAACTCCACATGATCCCCTGAGAACTACCAGGTGTGGCTCATGAATAGAACTGTGCATAACTTCCCACCCCAAAATAAACAAATGACATATTTATTACTTTTTTTTCCGTTTGGGGGATATACCCAGTGGTGCTCAGGACTTACTCCTGGTTCTGTGCTCAGGGATCACTCCTGGTGTCACTTGAAGGATCATATGCAGTGCTTGAGATTAAACCCAGGTGGACCACATAAAAGGCCAGTGCCTACCTGCTGTCCTACCTCTCTGACCCCTCACATTGATTTATTATGCATTCATTCTTCCTAACTTAGACATCTTATCCCCAGCATGTTCACAACCAATGTTTATTAATCATTAAATCCATTCAGGTCTGTCACAAAGACAGTGAAAAGCTTTTTTTTTTTTTTTTTTGCTTTTTGAGTCACACCTGGTGATGCACAGGGGTTACTCCTGGTGGTGCTCTGGGGATCATGTGGTGCTGGGCATCAAACTTTAGTTAGCTGTTTGCAAACTATTACCCTGTATGCTGTGCTATGCTTCCTATTTTTGCAATTAAAAATTATTCTTAAATGATTTTATAGCTTGTTTTTAATAGCATACCCTACAGCAGCAATCATTAAACTCTGGAAAAGAAGATAAACTTTTCCTTTTTTTCCTTTAATTTTTTTTTACAGTGCTGGGGCCTTACATACAAAGCAAGTGCTCTACTACTGAGCCACATCCTTGACCCAGATTTCTTTCTTTTCTTATGATTCAGTTAGACATTATTTTCCCATCCATGTTAGCCTAAATATTTTAGTAACAGGTACATCTGATTAGATAGCTTTACTTAATCTTCAATAATCTAGGCTAGATGTTTAGTGAGAAAATACTTCATGCCTAAAGGAAGAACCACACCTATAGATTCATGGTGTTAAGATCTGTAACGTAGTCCACACAGAATCTGGATTTGTACTACTTAGGGACTGGTAGTTTGCTGGAAAAGTGGTGTATATCGTAGAAATGTGTGGATAAATGCTGAGCAAGTCTTGTAGATGATGAAAACAGGAGATTAGAAACTAGTTTGCTAAATTATGTTCATGACCACTCCCTGGAGTACAATTACTCCTATTACTTGACTTGCCAGGTAAGTATCACCCACTGAAGGAGTCAATACAGGTATCTGGTATACCTCTCACAGGCTTCCTCATCTGGCAAACTGCTATGTTCCCTTGTACCTTTAAAACCCCTTTAAAATGATAGTGGCTATTAGTGGATAACTGGTCAAGTTAAGGGTTCTATGTTCTTTCAGCTGACAATTCACTGTATAACCCAGACAAGTCATTTAGGCCAGTCAAGCACCAAGGAAATCTTACCTTTACTGAATAGGATACCTTTAGTTTCTAGTGATGTCACAAATGAAATTGATATATCAAAAACTTGCCTCTCAGTAAAAAAAGCAGTATTAAAATCAGTTTATTTACCATGAGAAGTATGACAAATCCAGGCAGTTCTATGCACAGCACTGATGCAAAATAAATTATCATATTTGTTTGCCCTTTAAACATTAGATATTGCCCAGTGTCTAGTAATCTGGCTGCATTCAGACTCTTTAAAGACCTTTACTTAAACTTAGTAAGAAAAAAAAAGGGGAGGGGGAATCCCTGAGAA